GGTTACTGGACACTAGTGTCTAGTTGCTGGAAATAAATGGGAAAGCGAAACCAGGCAAAATACACCCAGAGGCAGATGAAAAATTTTTGCATAATGGATGTTCTGAAAATATGTTATAATAACATATGTGTGTTTTCAGGCCTGGGGCCCAGGAGAAGGGGAATGGGAATATTTTTTAAAGAGGCCAGTCAAGTACATATAGCTAGAAATCATGCTTAGGACCTAGCTTAGCTGCAGAAACAGTACATACTTCAAGTCCCCATGGATACCTAATTGAAGTTTTCTCTTAACCAAGACTGCACAAAATCTTTGCCGATGAAATCTGCCTGTGTTATTTCCCATTTTATTATGTTTGGATATTGTATATCTATTTGCCTCTTCCCTTCTTTCCCCATTTTCTCTCACAGCTAAAGTTTAATGTCTATTTTGACGCCTTAGGTCTTTGTACTAGCTTATGAAACAGCCAGGCACAGTGAACTCACTTGCTGTATAAAAGACTAAAGATCACATTGAACCATTACAGAAAACAAAGAAAGTCTGAATATTAATTCAGAACAATTAAGTTCATAAAGGCCAGTATATGGCAGCGCAGTTTCTTTTTAAGAATAAGCTCTGGCTTCAGAAATGGGGTTTCTCCTTAGAAGAAAGCTATGAGACGGATGCGTAACAGAGGATAGACATGAAGCTATCACTTTCTGTATTTTCTTCTTTTGGTCCCTTGATGGGGATAGTAACAGGTTTCAAATGCCTGTCAGTCACAGTTCTTGAAGAGGATGTGGAGGGAGGGAAGAGCCAGGATCAAAACCTGCATAGCTTTAGCAAGTGCTCACCATGAAGGCACAACTCCCTTTCTTCCTCTACACTGTCAGATTTTCTCACTTGATTTCACTTACATTTGTGATTTATCTATCTCCTTGGGATACAATTACATAATATATTCTTTCTGGTAGCAAATCCGGGCTAAGAAGATGCAGGACCCAGCTAACAGCAAGACGGGTAGCAAGCAGGCCTCACAAAGGGCTGTGGATGAGAAATGCTGTTGAGTTGGGCCCGAAGACTCTCTCCTTCTACCCACCCTATGCCCTGAGCAAGATGCACAGGAAAAGCCTCACATCTCAGCTTGCTTAGGACAATTCTAGGACAGACTCCTGTCTAGGAGTAACTTCTCTCTTGGACTGAAGGACAAGAGAGGTCTCACTGAATATGAGTAGCAGGATTTACTCATGTTCTTTGTCTGCCTGCAGCATAGCTTTTGAGGCAGCAACATGTCCAGCTTTCTGAGGCTATTCAGCTACTTCACTGCAAGTTATATTACAGCTCTTATGTATATCCTCAAAAGAGTAATGTGGCAGGACCTGATGAAAAGGCCTTTATTTCCGTAGCAAGTTTCTTTACGTTTATCTTTCTCCTCATCCCTTGTTTTAAAACCTGTTCAGGTCATAAAGTGTCTCTGTAGTCCTTGAAGACAAATACTGTGGCAGTCACAAAATATTTGAGTCCCTCACACTCCTCAGTTACCCTGCTAGCCAGGTTCTGCATTACAGGATAGCTGCCTGCCATAGTGCATGTCATCTCTAAGGTCCTCCCAGTTACCCAGCCAAGAAAGCTATGCTGTTAAAGTGAGGCTCTCTTACTGAGTCCTTCCCCTATGCTGGCTACCTTTCCAAAGGGGAAAAATTGTTTAGTCAACTTACAGGTGTGGTAAACAGACATTTAGCTGAAAGGTATATGTAGTTCTTTTTTTGTACGTACAGATAGATACATGTGTCTGTAAAAAAAAAAAAAAAAAATCCAGAATGACTAAATGACAAAATGCCCTTTAGATATGTTTACAAAGAAGCAGAGGTTCCAATGCCCTCTACCAAAAGCTTTTGCTACAAAAAAAAAAAAAAATCAGTGCTGTGAGCCCCATAGTGTATTACAGAGGAAGAGTGGTCAAAAGTATCCTTATGACAAGGATTAACTACATGACTAAGAAGAGCCACGTTAGCTCTAGGTAACTCTAGGACCTATAGCACAGGTAGTGTGCTGTCACCTGCTATAATGCCCACTAATATCCTTTGTATTGTTATTGTTATATTCTTTGTATTTAAAGACTTTTTCAATGATGTTCTTTATACTTAAGAGCTAAAGGCTGCAGGATTAAATTGATTTATGAATTTTTCAAAGAAGTTATGAAGTACATAGCTGTAGTTAGGCTATGCAAGTCAATATTGATTAGAAGCAGGGGTTTTATATCTGCACTGCCAACCTATCTGACACATACCTATTCCTCTATCAGAGTCGCACATATCAATGATACAGCCCACTATCAGCTTTTGCTCAACATCCCACCACTAAACAAAACAAAATAAATCTATAACCCTACAAAGCAGCTCAATTTTAGCTGCTGGACTCTATATACACGTATTTTTCATCTCAAGATGCCTTTTTGTTCTGTCTTTTTTTTATTCATTTATTTAAAATACTGTGTCTCAGTCCATTCTGCTGGTATTCAGAGTACTGGGAAAGTGAATTGATTCTACATAAATCTTAGCTTTCCAATTTATGTTGTTCCCTTAATGTGTAATATATAGGCCACCTGTGATGGTCTCCGGTTTAGTGCCATCAACTAATTTTGGCACATAACACTGCCCACACCTGTTAAATTGCCATGTTTTGCCTTTAAACTGTAAGATCTAGGAAGGAAGCAGAGTTCTTCCACGGTCTAGGAAAAAAAAAAAAATAAAAAAACATACAGGTAACTTTTTGAAAGCAGTTCATTATGTCACAAAATTTTCATCCCTACTTGTGTCATTAACTGAGTAGTATTCAATGCTGCTGGTGAAACTTGTAAGCTTGCAAAGATGAAAGCTGGGATGGCCATAATGCATAATAACAATTGTTTAAGGACCCATGTAATAAGATCTTTGGTTGCCTTTCCCTTACTCCTTAGAAATAGGCCTGAACATTCTCTGCCCTTTGACACGAGGATGTACAGTCTTTCTTAAAATAGCTTCTTTTTTTTCCCAGGTGGGGAAACCAGGTGGGTTTGTGGTAAGTGGAGGACGACCAGAAAGAGGCTCATTTTGTGGAGAGAAAGGGGTGTTGTATTGCTATAGAAATGTGGCAAATGTTTGACCTTGCCTTTGGGCTGTGAGGCAAAGGTTTGTTTCACAGCTCCCCTGCCCCTCAGTGGCACTCCTTCAATGCACAAAGCTATGCTTATAAAATCTCTTCCTATCATATATTTGCAACTAAAATAAGCAACAAAATTTATGTTTATCATCATATACAGCAAAAGGCAATTGCATCTTTATTAAAGTATTGTGAAAGAATAGCAGGACTGCCTTATAGTCTAAGAAAATATATGAACAACCTGTTCATTCACTGCAACTGCTTGCTGACTACTGTTATCATTTTGGTGGAACTGCATGGGGTGCTGCTCAATCTAGCCTTTGTACTATGAGTAACAGGGCTGTAGATACACAATAAAATAGCATCTTATCTTAGCTGTTCTATAGCCAGGTTTGATCAAAGTGTTTTTGACAGCAAGCTGTGCCATCTAGGAGTCAAGACCCTAAACAAAGCGTGTAGTGTCATAAATGCGTAGATAAAAATATACATGTGCAAATGCACACACGTATATTAGTGGAAGATTATTATCTCTTTTGTGATATGGATCTTTGTGCAGGGATCAGGCACCTGATTAAACCTGTGATGAAGAATCATCTTCTCATCTTAAAATGGATACCTGGTCATGGTGACTTACATAGCTGTCATTTGCTTGTTAACATTCTTCTTCAGTAATTAGAAGTCAAGCCTACTAGTTAGTGCTTGATATCACAAAGGGATGAGGTCAAGTAGTGACATCTAAAATAGACCTTGTCTTCATCTCCATGCGGATTCACTAACATAGAGTAGTCCTTTCATTGAATTATTCTAGGCAGACGTCATGGTTCTTATGGCACATAAATTCCCTTCCCCAGTGAAAGTATCTAAGGATAGCTTTGACAGGTTTACTCCATGAGGGCTGGACTAATTTTCTTCACTGGCGTTGGTGCTAAGGCAGTTTATTACACAGTTCTCCATAGTCTTGCACAAATACTGTTGTACATTGACTTGTGTCCCCCTGACACTCAACACCCACCCTCCCCCGCTCAGAAACACTCTTATTTGCTTAGAAAACACCAGTGTTGCCATTTTATACCAGGTTGTTTGCATCTGTTACCTCTGAGTTTGGACCAATTAACTATATGTACCTTTTGGGGTTTTTTGGTGCTTAACTGAGTCTCTTGCAGTGCTCTGCTGTTCTGTACACTCCATGGATCAGAATCAAATGAAGTTTATCATACTGTGGTTGTTTACAATTCACTGTGGTGTTGTTGCTGCACAGAAGATTAATGATGTCAACTTTAATGACAAGGTTATTTCAGATAGCAGAATGCCAGCCACATGCATGCAATCTTACAGACTCCAAAAGGAGACTAAGTTTTATTTAAACTTAAAAATATACCTTTACATGTAGGATTGTACCTGGTTCATGCATTGCAACAGAAGCAGCATGGCCCAAATCTTGCAAATAACATTCAAATGTACTCCTCATGAGAGATTAGAAAAACTTTGGGCTGCTTAGCAAAATTATCAGTCCATTATAACGTGACCTATCAAAGCTAAAAGTGCCATGAGATGCTCTGCTGAACTGTGTAAAACATCTAAATTATACCAGATTGTAATTGTATTTGACTACATAACTGGTGTTTAAGTGACGTCTGTTGTTACTCCAGAATTGTTCACTTACAGCCCTCACAGCATCCTCCAGAGCAGCTGGTATTATTATTAGGAAGTAGTTGATTCTGGAGAGTGATAAGATAAAAAGGCAGCTGTATTAATCTTAATACAAAGTATTAATAGCATTGGTTTCATGTAAAGTATTATTCATGACTTGATGATACCTGTTGCATAACTGTATGGGACCCTGTCTGTCACAAAGAAAAAAAAGAAAACACGGCAATCTCTCCTTCTTTTAGAACACAAATACATAAATTTTAATCTGAGAAAAATACAAAATGAAACCATGTACAAGTTATGTACAAACCCTTTTTACAGGACAATATATTTATCACTGGATATTACATATGACAAAGTCAGGTAGATCATTTCTGAGCACCAGCAGTTGTTCTCTCTCACCAACCCATAATAGTAAAAGTAAAATGATGAAGTCATACTCCTTTTTCTTGATGAACTTATAAGTTAAGATGGATAGCTGGTTCTCAGTGTACCCACCCTTTTGACACTCCAAAATTATAACTAAATAGACACATGTAGGCATCAAAATATGTTGTATATACCTGTTTGTGTGTGTGTAGTTTTTTCCCTGAAGGCAGGAAAAAAAAAACTATCAGGCTTGAACTCTACAGAAATTCAAAAGTTAAAGTTATTTCAACTTTCTTTTTTTGGACAGAGGTTAGATTATTTACACTGGCTAAGCATGTGTCTCCCAAGCTGTACCATGGCAGAAGCAGCGTTTTTTAACTGCTACTTAAGGAAAATTTAAGATAAGTCCTGATGACATTTTCATGTGGTTCCTGTTAGTTATTGTCCAGTCAACAAAGTGCTCATATGCCAGATTTTTGGTTTCTGAAATATCTGTTTTGTATTACATGTATTAAAATGCGTATATGTTGTGTTTAATATTTTTTCTTAAGTTACAAAGATTGCCTCTAAAGTGCATTGACTGAAGCAGTAAAAAGCTTTCTCTCAACCTCACTAAGGTTCTAATTAGATGCAGCATTACCATGTTTAGCGCCTTAAGTTAGATATCATTCTAAATTGGACCCAAAGTACTAAAAATTTATTTTATATTTTCTTCTTTCCCCTTACCCCTTCTCATTTTGACAGTTAACAGTTGTACACCATTATATAAATCAGATACATTAGACCAGCAGTCCTATCTATTAACTTCAGTGGAATTTACTTGGTTATAGAGACTACTGCACATTATAGACTATACAGTTTCAAAGTGGCTGCATGTTCTATCTCAGTGAATATCTGTGCAGAATAGATATATTACTTATATAAATATAGCTTTGATAAATGCTGGGGCAGAATTGTCAGTACTGTAAGCCTACGTACCATCCATGGTAGTGGCCACAGCTGAACAGCTGCTCCATTCGATTATTTCAGAAGGGGGCCATACCCACACCTACTAGTATTGCTTAATACAAAAGTACTATGAATATTGTGCTTGCTAACTGAATATTAGGAAAACTGCTGTGTATATATAACAAATTGAAAAAAAAAAAACCAAACAAAAAATCCTCAAACCAAAACAAACCACAAAAACTATATCTCCTAAGACTAGGAGTTTTCAAACACCCTTAGAATTAAAAAAAAAAAAAAAAAAGAAAAAGAAGTTAGAATTCAAAAGGTGCTTCTTCATATTTTGGGGATATTGGTGGTTCAGATGGCAGGGAGAGGAAAACAAAAGAAGGAATTCAAAGAACTTTATCCTGAATTTTTCTGTGCATCTGCCATTGACTTTTTGACATATATTCCCAGGCCAATCCACTGTAACAGAGAAAGGATTTCTGTTTTTACTTTGCCTTGTTCATCACCTTTCACACACTTGTGTATTTTGTTTAAGCTCAGTTAAAACTAGAAACGAAAGGTGAGACACACACTTCTTTCGGTGCCAAAGAAATTCGCAAACAAAATACCTAACACTCACAAACACCCTGACCTCAATATGTGTTCATTTCAAATGCATTGTGATCTAGAAGTCTTTACAAATCTGCTTCTTGATAAAACCATTTAAGCTCCTACTCTGTGCTTAACTTTGAGCCCATGTGAACCAGCTAGAAGAAGGCAGTTGCTAACATGTTTATGAATTCACCAGTGAGTGACCAAGCAGTGGAAAGATGCATAATTGCCCATTTGTAAATTATTGCTTTTATTGTCATGCATTAGTTTATGCATCCAGTTATTGCAGTAGGTGTTAGATGTACTTTACGCACACAGAAATCCCAACAAATCCAGTCCTCTGTGAATGAGAATACACTAGTACACATTCTCCTTCTACTCTAAGAGGTCAAGAAATGCATATCTTCCTTACACTGGCCAAAACTTCCAACAAATTAACAACTTTGCCCGCCACCACCAAACAATCTATAATAAAAGGCTATAGACAAAATTTTTGTAGTGTTTCCTGGACATTGTATGCAAACTATTTTTCCCCCTTTCCACATTTGGCTGAGTCCAGTTAAGTCTTTTCAAACCCATGCTGCCTGAGTCATTGAGTGGTCATTTTCTATAGAATTCAAAAGTAGGAGAACAAAATATCTTTAGTATGGCTAAACCTGACTTCCTGTACAGCCTGTAAGATGCTGAAGACTTATCGTCTCTTTCAAGACACCTATGCGGCTTAATAAGGCCACCTGGGATCCTAATTATCCTGAACCTCATGGCCTTCACCCTGGTGAAGCAGCACTGCCTTTCCCACCAAAGATGAACTGGAAACAGCTACGTGCTTACATTTGCATGGGGATTTGGCTGTGTCATGTCACTCTCACCCTCCCTGCTTTCTCTATCCCTATGTATGTTCCTGGCTTTTGGGCAAGTAGAGCTTACAAGGTTCCTTTGAGTTACAGGTAGAATAGCAATGTTGTCCATGAACCTATAACACTGTATAATTGATTGTACGCTAGATGAAGGGATTTTTACTTCCCACCACATATGCTTCCTGCTGATTTAAAAGAAGGGGAGCTGTTAAAATGGAGGTGACAGTTTTAGAAAGTGTTTGCAAAGCACAAGGAAATGTTTGCATATCTCTTTTTTTTTTTCCCCATTAAATAAATGTATTATATATGTAACATCTTAGAATCCATAGTAAGACAGTCACATTGAGGCCTCAAAAATTGCATTTAGACTCTGAATATCTTATTTTCTTTCCACCTTAACTTTTGCTGTATTGGACACTTGCCAAGCAAACAACATCCCATTGGAGGACAGTTTTGTCCTTTCATCTTAGTGCTCATGGGCTTCAGGAAACAAATTAAAATAATAGCCATGAGACAGAGAGGCAGCGGGCTTTCTGGCAGTGTGGGAGCAGGTTCATGGGTGTGAGGTGGGGGCCAGGAACACACACCTACTTCAGCAGTAAGAAAAGGTTCTGTAGAGTATTCTCAATGCAACACTAATGTAGCTAACAGGAATGGCTGCTTTTTGGTCAAGCCAGGAGGAAACAGTAGGTGCAATTCCTCCCTGTGCTCTCCTGTAAGTCAGTCATACATTTTCTTTTTCTTTGTGTCTTTCTTCACCCACCCCCCACCCCAATAAAAATAATGACCACCTTCTCATGATGTCTCTATCAAATACATAAACCCCACAAACACTTATATAAGCATGTTTATATCCACACATACGTCTATGTGTGTATGTGTAGACATGCCTATATGCAAATACAGGCAAACATTTTATCCAGTGCATGAGTTGCTAATAAAAATAACTGTTTAGCCTGTAATAATTGTGTATACAATTAACAAAAAAGCTGAAATTCCCACCCCCATTGTTTTTTGAGAAAGGAATAAGAATTATCAATAAATATCAAAAAGTTATTCTACATCAGTTGTCACATGGTCTGCCAGCTGTTGCTTAGGCCACTTTCCCAGCTACTTGCCCTGGTGTAACTCCATATACCCAAAACCCAGATACTGGTGCTGGCCCTATTTTAGTCTTTAATGGCTAAACATCAAAGATCTCCAACAGGTTTTCTCCATGATCCTCCACCTAATTGCCAGAAGTCAGTCCTCTGTCTTTGATCATCAGAAAGAGGAGTGAGAAAAGATTATTGATTGCTCTTAGCTTTTCTAGAAATGGGAAATGCAAACTGTACCAGTTTCTCTCTGCCTTGCATGCTCTCTACAGGTGGTGTTCTGTCTGTCATTACATACAGAACCATCTGTGCTGGGAGAAAGCATAAGTGTATTTTAAAAAAACATGAGTATATTTAAGTACAGTTGGCAGCGTGATATTTTTGAGTGTGACAGTTAAACTGGACAGAGACACGCACAAACCTTAGCTAAGTTAGGGGTGTTGTATTTGCTTCATTAGTATGTTTTATCCAGTGAATGCTCCCTTTTGAAAGAAGGACACTCAGAAATGGCACCGTATATGAGAAACTATAAGATATAATGTTTTATGTATGTCCCTACAGCAAAAGACTAGTCTTCTAAGAAAAAAAAAATTAAAAAAAAGTCACATGTGCTTGGTGAAGTTGAACACAAAGAAGTTCAAACATTCTCCTGTACTCAGAACCAGCTTTTTTCACTCCGGTTATAAGATGAATGCAGTTCATAAATGAAAAAGGAGCACTGACTTCAAAATAAAGGCTTAACATGACCCAACACAGAATCTGGATGTAGATTATAATGTGTCAGTAGCTGAAGCAGCATAGATCGGAAGAACTGACCAGAATAATCTTCTATTTTGAGGACTGTGAAATGGGTTAAACGTGGTCTAACTAATAATCAAAACCTGCTTAAATTATTTTGTTACTTTGAAGGAGAGTGAAATATTTTAAACAATCCAATTTTACAGCTAGTGTATTAACAATTCTTGTATTGTCTTTAAATAGCTATTCTACAAAATATAACAACAAAGTAGTCACAGTCCAAGAAGTCACTCCAGAATAAAAAGTCTATTAGGTGTTTGTTAGTATGGTTATATTTGTACTGCAGCCAGTGGACAAACATTAAAGCTGAGATAGTTTAGCCTAAATGTTGGATTATATAGTGGACATCATTGTTTTCACAATAAATTGATCTGCTCTGCATTTGTTTGATTCACCGATATTTCTCTAATGATAATATGTTTTATTGTGGTGTTTAACAATTCTGCAAAATTACAAAGCCTAAAGTTACCTTGCACAATGAAAATCTCTTTCCTGATGACTGTGGTTTTGGTTTAATCCTTATTATCACAGCCTTTTTTTTATTTTTTTGTGTTGGCTTGGGGTGTTTTTTGGTCACACAACTGTGTTAGATGTTGCTAATTTGAGACAGAGAGAGTTACTAAATCATTTAAAACAGCAAATGCTTGGGTGGATAGATACTGCAGCACAGATATGAAACATCATATTTTTGTCTGATGGCTATAAAGCTTGTTGACAACTTTGTGAAACTGCTGACACAAAAGGCACCCATCAAAGGCCTTTTGTAGGTTATCATAATAAATACATTCATTAACTTTATTTTGATTTGGTTATTACTGTACTTTACTTTATGTGTGGTGTCCCAGCAAAGGAAAAAAAAAAAATAAAAAAAACAAACACAAATTCTAAAATAAGAAGTTACTTGGTTCAGGAATTAACTGGGAACAGCATGTTGTGACATTAGAGAGCTGAGGCTAAACCAATTTTTAATCTTCAGCTGAACTCACCAAAAGGAGATTCAGTGTGCCTTTTACCAAGGTATGAGCTATCACCAAAGTGCAAAGATCTGTAGATAAACATTTATACATATCAGGAAGAATCTGAACCAATTAAATAATCATAATCTATGCAAGGCCAGCTGCACTTCTGAAGTAAGCAAGCAGCAAAAGATAGTAGATGTGAAGGTTTATAACTTATGATTTCATGTGCTATTTATACACTCTGGTTTAAAGCACTGTAATGCATGGCAAAAGAAGAGGAAATGCCAAGCCTGACTTCTGGAAATTAGCAGCTGCTGCTGGCTAATGGGAAGTGGAGTGGAATTGCCAGATTTGCCATTTATAGAAAGTGCTGCCTATGAACACATGATCTATATGGCACTCAGTTTAGAGTAGTGATTTTTACTAAGCTTGTGTTGCAGGAAGTTACTGAGGATGCTGGGTTTCTGTCTGTGTATGTGGACATGTAGTGTGGGAGCGGGGCACAGTGTGTCTGTGTGGGGTTATTGAACCTTAACATAACTGGCAATTAAGAGCTGTACATGATAATGAAACAAAGAATATTTCAGAATGTTACATGTACAAAAATATGACTTTCAACTTTGAAAATAAATAAGTTCAGTTTATTAAGAGCTGGTGTCAATGCTGAACAAAATACACATCCTCCAGTAAAGAAACATTTTGGTGAACTGGTTTTTCTTTTTTTTTCTTTTTTTTTTTTTTTTTGATTTACTAAAATACAAGTTGGACCTTTTTTTTTTCTTCTTGTAAATATATCATTTGTCTCCCTTAATTACATGTCCTTATAACTGTGGCCATCATTCTCCTTTAAGCCAAAGATTGAGGTTTGTTTTTTTTTGAATTCTTAGGAGTCTGGCCACATATGCAGGTTTTTATAAGGGAATATACTTGACGATGAAAAAAAAGAAAAATATATTTTTTCTAATAAATAAAAATAATTTAAAATGCTAGAGGCTATACATGACTAGTTTTGATTATGTTCATTTATAAATGAAATAGTTTCCAAAATACGTGGAAGCAATATTAAAGGCAGACAAACAATCATCTGTCTACTTTTTATTTTCCCGTTAAGCTTGCCCTTCTTCTCCATCAGTTATTCAGCATGTAAGAGGAATAAATGTCACATCACCATTCATGAAGTTTGTCAGGCTTTAAAAAAATAGTTCTGTCCTCGAAGGAGTCAACATTCATCTTCAACTTCTCTGATTGGTGGTATCAAGCTGCTTGTCGATTTATATTGATTGATCTGATTGGCCATGTGAGTGCTCATGGGCTTGATTTGAATGTTTCTGGGATAGGCATTATCCGGCTCATCTGTAAACCATTTCTTTTCTGCTAAGGAGCAAAACGGGTAGAGACAGAATAAGGAGGGAAAATGAGAGTTTTAGTTAGTGACACACATAAACACATAAACATTTGAAAAACAAAAAAAGGAGGGGGAGCAGTCAGTAAAGTTTACAGAGAAAAGGTGATCATTAGAAGGTGACTGTGACTAATTGCAGTGCATTAGATTAATACCTCTGAAAATGCTTTTTATGAAATAATGACATGTTTGCAGATTTAATAGTAGAAGCTAAAGAAAACTTCAATATGATAGTTTGTTTGTTGAATGTAAGAGAGCTTTCATTTTTTATGCTCAGGTGAACATCCTCTGATTTATTTATTGAAAAAATGATACAAATAAAGGGCTAAACTAAGAAGCCAGCCAACTAAGGGGAATGCAGAAAAAAGCATGTGGGTCCATATACAGAGGAACACCTGAAGAGTCAGAGGCTACTCTGAACCATTTCAGCCTTGGGGTGGCCACTACCCTGGCTCAGAAATCGTTCAGGAGAATGTAAAGAATCTCCTGTGAAAGTTGGTCCCAGAATAAATAGGGCTTGCATTCATGCTGCCCAATGGCAGCCTTCCTGCATGGGATGATCATTACATTGCGACTTAGCAACCTGGCTGCTTGGGCACTGCTGAAATCTCCTGTTTGTGAAGTGGTATGGAGCACACCTGATGCTATAGATGAGGGGCTCAAGAGTAATCCTGAATGGGTTGGTTACAATACATGACAGCAAGGCAGAGGAAGTAAGATCTTAAAGGAAGATTGGAGAGGAAGCTGTTCCTTTTATAGCTTTGGGCAGTGTCTTTTTCCATGAACATAGGAAGAATTTTATGGGACTGATTGAAGATGGGCTGTGAACAAAGTGGGAATGAGTGAGGATGCTGAGAGGCTGTGGCACTGCAGCCATTTCCTAGCTGCTTATCATTGTGACCACTATATTGTGTTCATATGCAGATCTGGACAAAAAACTTCATAAAATTTACAAATGAAAAAAAATTAAAATAATTTTCTTAAACCCTTTAAAGAACAATTGGTGCTGTCATTTCTTAATTACAGTTGGGAAACTTTACAAGATAGCACTATTCAGAATTAGAGAGTCTAGGTCTCAGGGCAGCTTATGGCCATTAGGTACTCGTGCTTTGACAAGCATTTGTGAACAGGGGTCTCCATTCTCACTCTCCTTCCCCATATTCCAGAGGCAAGTGGGCAGCAATGGTTCTGCAGGTGGGATTCTACAGCCGGTGCGTTTTCATTATCACATGCAAGGCTTATCACATCAGAGCTGCTGCTCTTACATGTATGCACTACTACTCATGTATGCACCACTTACATGTATGCACTACTACTAGTGCACTACCCAATGGGGGATCCAGAATGTTTCATAAGCTTCAGTGTCTCACATACATAATAAAACCTGCTGCTTTTGCTGACCCCTGAAATGCAGCCGTATCTCGGCTAGAATCTGGGCAGGAGTAGAAGCAGTGCTCTTTTAAAATAAATAAATGAGTAAAACTAAGCAGAGTAAAATCTACCTTGGAAACCCAAGGATCAAGCACAAAAGCTCAGGAGGTGAAGCCAAGAATAGAAACTGGAAGACTAGGAAGAATAAAGGACAAATATCCTGGCATAAATGCACAAAAAGAAGCAACTAGCTTTAAAGTTAGGGCCTCTAAACAAGTGTATTGATTTCCAGAATTCCTTAACTTCTCAGTAATTTTTGTGCATATGAAATTTAACCACTTATACCTGATATGGATTTTAAGCATCTACATATAACACCCTCACTTCCCAACAACAAATCCCAAACTTGTGGGTGTTTAATACATCTTTTATATTTTTCAATATATATTTGTTACCTGTGCTTATAAAACTTTTTTAAAAAATTTAAGAACTTTTTAAAAATTTTGAATTGAAAAAAAAAATTGTATTAATTTTTAGTGGCTTATTACTGAAATAAAACTACTGTATTATTTTTCTTGTGATTTTCTAAAATGTATTTTACATCCCACTCATTTACAATCAGGCTAAATATTAAAGTTACCTGAGTCTGAACAATATTCAGCCTCCTATCTCCCTCTCTCTCTCTCAGTCTCCTTTACCTATTATAATTAAGTTCCCTTTGATTTGAACAGATTGGACGATAGGAATTCATAATGTTACATCCTGCACACTGAAGCTAACTGATTAAGTGCTTTAAATTATTCTTCCTGACAGAATGATAAAGTTACAATCTGTTCAGCGATGATCTACAGCTTGCCAGACTCCTACTGCTTCTTTCTACATTCATTTATCTTTTTGTCAAGCAGCTAAAAAAAAAAAAAAAAAGAAAAAAAAAAGCAGCGCCTCAATTCCATAGATCTTTTAAAGTAATCAGAACATCTGAATTATTAATGAGACTTTAAGGGAATGGTTCCTGATAGGGGCTGGTTTAAGAAAGGTTGTAGGGAAAAAAAATAATCCGTGAATGTGTACACATCAAAATAATTTCAGCTCCTTTTAAAAAATCATTTAGTTCAAGTGTGACACATGAGCCATTATGCATTTGAGGAAACCAATTTTATGTGATCTACGATTAAACTAACCTTTCAGAGAGGTGTAAAGTGTGATGGTTATCATGTTTTTAAAGCCCTGCAAGATCATATAAACAATTTCAAACTAACAGTTTTCTAATGTTTTGTGTTTAAAATGGTTTTGAGGCAAGTTAAGCACTGTGAACTTTTATCTCTACCTTTTTTCTTTTAACATATGGTGCACAAACTTTCCTTACAAACAGAACTTGGTGCAAGTTAATTCAATCTTATAACAAGAAAGGGAGAACTGTGTGAGTGTTAAGGATCAGAACTGCCCCCTGTTTCTCAGCAGCCAGTGTAAAAGCACTTCCATCTTCCCTGTTTTCCCTGCAATTTTCAAAACAAGGCAATTATGCATATGTTAATCTTTACAATGAAACTCATATCCAGGGAGCTGATCTTTAAAAAGACACCATTAGGTCTCTATGCCTTTACCTGGGAAGTAATACAGACAAATAATAAATGCAGAAACTGGTAGATTCAAATTTCTTTTGGTGGTTGAGTTTTGGGTTTTTTTTTTTTTTTTTTGTTTTGTTGTTGTTTTGGTTTGGGTTTTTTGGTTTTTTTTTAACAGTGCTGAAACCTTGATCCAGGCATTAGCATCTCCAGCATCAAATGCTTGGACCCAGCTGACCTCTACACTTACCTTTGAAATGTGAGTCTGACACTCCTCATCTTTACTCTTGGTCACTAAGATATTCTCCTGCCATTTACTAAATGTCCTTCATGAATCCCTTACAGACTTCTCGGTCTTTTTTCTTATGTTCACAGTCTGACTTTGACATGTCTTCCAAAGTCTTTGGATGGACTTCTGTATATCTTAAACAAACTCCCTACTCTTTCCTTTAAATCAGTTCAGAAAACTCTTTTTAATTCTGTAAATATTGTTATATTCACCAACTTTTTTTTTTTTTTTCTCTGTCATGTTCAGTCTGTTTCTCTCCCTTTTAGCATACATGCATATGGATCCTTACCAGATAAGTTTCTACATTATAGTGAGAATAGGCATAGTATCTGGTGGGTGTGGTTTTGACAGCATCATCAGAAAGATGTTGGAACAGCTAAGTAACAATGTATCACAAAGCAGAAAACATTTACTTTCCTCTCAAACACCTCTGTTTGCAATAAGCTATCAGCATCCCAGTATGGCCATGAAAGCGCTAAAGGCTTCAAGCTTTTATTACACTTACACAATTAGCATCTTGTGTAAGACTGTTCCCTGCAGCATAAAAAGATATAAATAAATTAAAATGATCAAAATACAGCCTTCTTTAAGTTGCATAAGACTCTAGCAATTCTTTCCAACAGATCTGCTGTTTTGCTGCTTTAAAATTTCTATCACAATTCTGGACCAAGTAATCACATTTTAATACATGTCACTGTGAAACACCCTCTCTTTGAGCAGAGGTGAAGAAAGTACTAGCTAAACATGCCACAAGGATTTTACTAAATCTGTATTCTCACCATAATCCCGGTTTACCTTACAATTGTTTTAAGCATGCATTTTTTTCTTTTGTGACACTTGCACTTGCAAATGAGTCTATATGTGTTTGTGTGCCTCCCCCTCTCCACATAGGTAGCTTGTTTAGGCTAAGCTGAAAATTCTCCTATGCAATTTCTTCCTGTATGAGAAAAAAGTAATGAGAGTTTCTCCACCACCCGCTCAGCAATTCTTTGTTGCTAGATGTGTATTTTATGTGTAGCAGGCAGTAAGGAATTTGCAGGGAAAGAGAGAAGAAACTATCCTAACTTTCTGTGAAGGTCTTTATTTTGCTCCAAGGCAACTAAATTTTGGGGACAAACATGCTATTTTTGACTTGCTCTTGGTGATTCTTTTTTTTATTATTTTTTTAGACTAGCAAAATTCTTATTTTTAATAATGGAAATTTCACTGGAAAATGCCTGATTCTGCCACTTTAGGCCAGTGGCAACCCATGCCAAGAACCTTAAGTCTTTCTAGATAGAGTTTTGTGTCAACACTCAGATCAAAAAGTTACTAAGAACCTAGTTTCTATTGTGAAAACCATGCCAGGACTACCGTAAGTAGCAGTGCCTCCTTTCAAAGCCTTAAAATATTACCTCTTGATGCTGCTTTTACACTTTCAAAAACTAACAAGGGTAGTTACTAGGAATGTTTGACTTGAGATAGGTTTCTGAACAAATTGGAGATTTCCTGTGACTTTTTAATATTTAAAAAAAAATTATAACATAGCTGATTGATTCTTCATAACATATATGATTCTTCTACTTGTAATATCCAACCTCCCAATTTCATTAGTATACCCATATCAGGAAATCTTCATCACAGTAATTAACTATTTGATCAATTTAATGTAGTTAGCAGTGAAATTGCACATCGTATAACTAAAAGTGAAATTGCACATTGTATAACTAAAAAGTTATACAGTTGCACATTGTATAACTAAGAATTCTGACTTTAGGGCAGAAGACAGGAGAATCAGAATTTAACATGATTTTAAGAATCAAGATTTGCATCCATATTACATATCCCCCTTCTGTTGCTTTCAAAGTAGACAAGTTGCTTCTGTAATGTGCACTGTTAATATTTTTTCTGTTTGAGCTGCACAGTTATAGAAATACTATTTATTTGGATAAAATCATTACATAGTGTGTGACAAGTGGCTTCATATTAACACCCTTCCTCCTTCTGCTAAATGGAAAACAGATAAAACATTAATGGAAAAGCATTTTGGTGTCAAAGCCATTAACATTCTTCCAAAATGCATAACTGCTCTTGACTATCTTCAGTCAATATTGCCAACATAAAAAGATGCTCATGAACGTACACGGGGGACAGGGGAGTAAAGAGGGAAGGGAGGAAAGGAATTGGAATGAGGAATGGGAAATAAAAGTAATGTCTGTATGAGGGTAGGCATCTTCATTGAGCAGGAACCTGGGTGTTCACAAAAGGACACGTGCAATTAGAAAGGCAAGCAGATGAGAGGATAAAAAAATAAAACAGGGTTGAGCAACAGCAGCAGCAGCAGCAGCCAGTTTCACTTCTGTTTTGGAGGGAAAAAAAGAGCAAAAGAAAACCAACAAAACAAACAAACAAACAAACAAACCAATAACTGAATAAAGTTTGTAATTTTTTTTTTTTTTTAATTTCACAAGTTTTCACAAGGACAAAGTTATAGAAGGAAACCCACAGCAGTTGCTAGGTCATGCAGAACCATTAATTGTCATACCTTGGCCCATTCTATTCATCCTTGTTGCACTTTAGAAAAAGAAGTAAGCTATGTAAGTTTTACAATGCTTTTAAACTGTCATATTTCCTGTTGAGCACTTTAACTGGCACATCCTTGTAGTAATAAATATTCTTAGGGCAAAACATGATAACTTTCTTTGAGAAAAGAAATACATGAATTTGTCTTTAGTGTGAAGAGCAACTGTAGTGACTCATTTGTGGGGGAGCATCCATAATTTGCAATGTAGTTTATTGATAGGACATACAGCTGCATTTGAATGCACATACACATATGTACTGTATTCCAATCATTATGCTTAACACTGCACAGTGATACTCTCTGCAGCCCACTTAATATGGTTCCAGGTTTTGTCAGTAAAAGTGCTTGGCTTCATTGTCAATTCACACAGCAAGCAAATCTTCAGAATTATCATGCTTGGGAAGGGAAGGGTAGAAAACAACACTAACCATAAAAGCACCTTGTCTGGGTTGCAGTTAAAATGCTAATCATTCCCACATCCAAGTATTTATTCCCTGTCTGCATGCTTTCTTGCTGGGTAGCCAGGGAAGGTGGCACGCATTTGTTGCCTCCCTACGCTGGGAAACTCTTCATACCAGCTAGATGTAGTTCTATATTTCAGAAGGTTGGCATTTGAAATTCAAAAACCAAGCTTGAAGTATCATTTCTATGATTATCTAGAACAGGTTCCTGTTCACTACTGTATTTAATTCCCTGCCAGTTTTTGTTTGTCTAGGTGTTTCATTGCTGAGAATCTGCAAGAACCAAATTCTAGCAAGTGTCTAGAACATGATGCCTCAGCACAGTGAATATTTCCACCCCAGCCCGCTTGCTTTGCTAGGGCACAGCGATTTTTTTCGTAAATGGGAAATACCTTAAAGGCACTCAGTTGTCTTCCCCTGTCTTCCTCCATACTGGCATGCACCTGTTGAAAAGACCTAGCTAGAATACGGAGCAGGATTTCTAGAGTTTCTTCACATATTAGGACTCTTGTTGGAAGATTGATACTACTATTCTCTTGGAAAAGTTAAACTACCATCTGGGGAAAGGAACTAAGTCACTTGAGATCTGATACTTAAGCATAGAAAAATGCTTGCTCTTTTCTGAACATTATTTATTCTGTACATAAGGTGACTAATTCACCTTTTAAAGACGTAAAAGTCCCAGGAAGGCAGTTTTTAATGACTTACATCCAATATTTATGATACATATGGCTTTTTATCCCAAATGTCAAAAGTGAAAGAAAATATAGCTATTCATGTGGCAGTATAAATAGACAGAATAATAATTTAATATGCAATTAGATTCTTTCTAAACTTAAATTAAACCACCGGAGTTTTATAAGTCCATGCCCAGACAATTTCAGTGTTAAAGGGAAAAGACTCTATCTCCAAAAGGCTACTATTTTAGAGAAAGTCCTTAAATAAGCAGGAAAGTCCCTGATGTTGCTTTGGTATAAAGCAGGTGTGTAGCAATTATCTATACAAGTGTAAGCCCTATACAATATAAGCTTTAAGAGTGAAAAATCAGTAGGGATTTTTCTTTCCCCAATGGGTTAGTTTTATAAGCTTCAAATAAATCTAGCAACTCCTGTAAATATGAATATAAAAAAACCTACTGAAACATACATCAACACTTCTGCACTAAATTACTTTCTTTGTGTGACTCGGACATCAAGAGCAAGTGTTCATGTTAAATACACTCTATTTTCTCATATGTAGAGTAACTGCAGTGAGTTATTTATGTTTTCAGTGTGCCTATGGGTTTAGAATTTTTTTCTCCCCTAGCATCATAAATAACTTTTGGTCCGTCTGCTTTGTTGCTGTTGTGCTTAAGGGTTTTATGGTGGTGAAATAAAAATGACAATCACATGCACACTGTCATACGTATGCAAAGTATGTGTACAAAAAGGGGAGAACTCCATGGGAAAATGGGGAACATTACTGCTGGAAACATTAACTGGGGAGAATGGGTGGTGAATGCAAGTTTCACACACAGTGGGAGCAGGTACACGTATCAAAGTCTATCTTCCTGCACATACTTCTGTTTTTCCCGTGAGTCCCTGGTCTTGGTGCGATTCGGTCGGTTTGCTGTTGATGGGATGGAGTGAACTGATGAGCTCTTCTTGCTGGAAGAATAGGAGGAATGGGAGGAATGAGAAAGACTGGCCCGAGACTGGCCAGCATTGTGGTCAAATTGCATCAAACAGAAGATCAAGTCTGTCGGCACAAGCTCAAATTCATATGGCGGGTTTGTGATAACGTAACTGTAAAGAAAGGAAGAAAGAGAAAAAGAAAGAAAAAAAAAAGAGATAAAACTCATTTAGATTTGTACTAAAAAAAAAATTCTTCTAAAGTTATCTCATGAACATTTACCCAGATTTTTGCATTTGTTTCCTTCAGTGAGTACCTAATTTCAGTTCACACAATACTCATTATTATTTAGAACCTTCTTATGCCAAATATCTCTTTTTGTATGCTTTCTGTTGCACAGACATACTGCCTAAGATATTCTTTCTTCAGGTGAATCATGTCATGATTTGTCAGAGAAGACACCATACAAATCATGTTCCTTTCACTAGTTGCACCATAATGCAATGACTGTAGCAAACAGATTTACGTATAGACAAACCAGTAACATATCCACCAGCAACGGTATTTAAAAGAACAGCTGAAAGCCAGGGACGCAGTTATATTTAAATACATATTTACTAGTTATTTAAAAAATAAATACTGCCATTAGAGCAAAGGATATAATTATTTGTTTGGATTGTGACTGTACATAAAACAAATTAAGTAAAATATATCAGAAAATTTGCGGTAAGCTTAATTTTGTTCATTCATTCAACATGTACATTCATGACCTCAAAAGCACTTATTAAGAGAAATCTACACATCCAAGAATCTAGCATTGTTAAGTATTGCCAAGCCTCAAATAAAAAACATCTATTTCAAGACTCCCCACCTCCAACTAACTCCCTTTGAGGGTAAGAAGGGCTTATGGACCCTGCTGCTAAATTTTTTCATGCATGTGAAAAACATATTTGAGTAAGCCAGTGGGCATTTTCTGTCCCAGCAAGAAATGAGTAAAAATTGATCACAAAGCTCACAACTTCTCTTCAAATTAATTCAGTGCTGGTAAGAAATCTGCTTAGCTGCCTCAGGGACAGAAGTCACTTATTAATCCAACAAATAATCCCAAGTATAGCAAGTAGAGTGTAAATCTAACCTGAAAATAATTTTTTCTACCCAATTTGTCCAAATCCTTACAGAAGAAACTGAACTGGTAGGCTGCAGGGTTGTTTATTGCCATGTTCACCCCATAATTATGCTTTTTGTAGAGAATGAAACAGCAACAGATGGTAGATTTGCAATAGTTCTGGTATGGGTCTGCTGTGTATTTCTAGGGGGAACTTAATTAAGACACATTTCAAGTAAGCTGCTAAACAGCCTCCAGTCTGAAAGATGCAAATGTGTCTGCTCTATTAAAAGCACTGAGGTCAGCCTTGGTGCTACCGAAGTGAAAATACAGCCTAGCAAGAGAAAGGTTTCCATTTACTGGAAGAAATGATGATCAGATACAGATAGTACCAAGGGGAAACACATGGGAGTATTGTTTGAGCATACAAAAAAAAGAAAGTCTAGCTACTAGAATCTAAACTATTACCCAGTAACTTACAGCTGATTAGATAAGCAAACTGAAGTCCTTTCTTTCTACGCAAGCAGTGCATAGCATCATAAATCAAACAAGACAGAGAGATAGATGTTCTGAAAATTTGCTTTAAATTTTTTTTATTAAAATTAGCTGAAAACACATGGTATGACAGCCAGCCTAAAGCTGGGTTAAGCTTAAACTGAGCTCTTAAGCTCAGCTGAGGAGTCATCATTAAGTCCTCAAAGAGTTAGCTTTTGTGGCAAAGTTATGTAAAAAATAGAGAAAGCTCGTTTTTAGATTTATTCCAGGCACTAGGATCTTCCTCACTCGAAGACTGAAGAACAGTGAAGCGGAGATGTTCTGAAAGACTAGACTTACCGTTTAGTGCATTGGCTGGGAGTGCTTAGATGTGCATCCCTTAATCGATAAATTCCAAAGCAAAGCATATTGTATGTTTTCAATGCTTTACAAAATAGATCTCCATAACAACCTCCATCCTAGGAGAAAACAAGGAGAGGAAAAAAAAGAGAACACCACTGGTTTTTTTTTTTCATTTTTCTTCGTTAACACAATGCCAGGGAGCAAGATTTTCAGTATAAGCCTGTACAAAAAGGACAATGTATAGACAGTCTGCGGTTTGTCATTATGTCACAAATAAGGATCTTTTACTCAAAAAAAATGAGTAATCTAAAATGTTTTATTTCAAATAAGCAATGATGTAAAGTGATCATTATTTTGGAGATCCTTGGTCCATGAAATGATCGTAAATTGGGAAGAGTGAGTGGTTTGCTTTAGGCAGAAATACAAACTTTGGTACCAAGCAATGCATATTCTACAAATTACATTAAATGTGGTATTAAGATTTTTTAGTATTTTTGACCCTTTTTTTCATAGTAGCCATACTGTGATCTAGAGAAATAAATTTGATGGGGAGCACAACAGAAATTAGAGTTCTGAGGGGTTAAAAGGGAAATGTATCTCCCACTGTGAAATAATGATGAAATGTATGTCATATTTCACAGACTAAAATAATTTTATTAGAAAAAAAAATAGATTTCATAGTTTTGTATATTTAAAATATTGATTCTTAAGTAGTAATAAGTGTTACTGCATTCTGCCTTCACCAATGTAGTGCAGTTGAGGCTCTGGCAAAACAGGACTTGAAGGACTGGTATTGCTTGCTTTATTTGTGAAAGCATAACACTGCTGCCCAAGTGTTCTGATGAGCTGTTAATCTCAGCTATGAATGGACTTCTACATGAACTAAAAGGCTATTTAGTTCTGTGTATACTCTTCACCCCTAATCCTTAAACTGCGATTTCCTGTCATTTCTATGAAGAAGGTCACTCTGTTCATTTTTAACAGAAACGGTGAACACAAGTTTAATTTAAGAAATATCAAATCCTGCATCACCATCAAAGTGAAGTTAGTGCTTTGGGATTTGACTCAAGATTACAAGATTTTATCCAGAAAACATTTCTACATACCTCTTTATGCCACTGTTCTCTTTTTTAAAGATGGTTTGTTTATTGGTTTGTTTTGCGTTTGGGTTTGTTTTTTTCTTTTATTTCATTTTTAGGATAATGGAGGAAATATACAAAAAATACAGGATTTTGCAAGAATGCTACTTCATCCAGAAACTCAACAAAACTCAACAAAGGTATCGATATTGTTCATGTTTACAATAGATTACTGTAGAATGGTTACATCATCTAAGTCATAAGATTCTATATGATTCTGTTCCAAGTCAGCTCATCTATTTCTAGCTGACAACTAAGAGCCACAGGATTTTCTGCAGGAAATAGCCAGGCAAGCAGTCTGGGAAGTCATATATCTTCTCAAAAAGCATAAGAGCAAAGCTGGGCTCCATTAAATTAAATAATAGAAATTATACACTAATTAAGATAGATTCTTAATTCAGTCTGAGAGAAAACAAATAGATTGCAGACCAGCCTTGGTCCTACATTTCCCTTGTGATCTTACCCCTAGGTCTGCAAACGGCCCATCATACAAAGCCAACTGAGCAACTCGACACCTGTCCCTGTTTGCAAGTGTCTGGGGCGTGCTGTAACCTCCTCTCAATGCATTTTCCTCAGCAATCAGTGCTTCCAGCTCTGGTGTGGCTCCTCCTGTTACCAATGTCCGTATCAGTGTGAGGATATTGTCATTGAAGTATGTCTGCAGAGATAAAAGAAAGCTCTTTAAGCAAACACCATTAAAGTCACAACTGAAGACATCCAAATTACAACTTTTCTGTGTTTCTGCTGTTTAAAGTTCTTGGCTGTCTCTTCAAATAATTTTATACAGAAAGTGAAAAGACAGCAGACTCCAATTACTCTATTTTCTTCTATCCCATTAGGCTCCTATACTAGGTCCTTCCTTTTAAACACCAATTCAGGCTGATTTTTATTAAAGTACAAAAATTTGAATGATTTATGTTTCTTATAATTGGTGTTAGTAGTGATGCAATGACTGCTTTCCTTCTCATTGCCTTCATGTCTAATAATGGGCTTTAGGACATGTAATTGTAAAATTCAGACCACATTTAAAGCTTACACAGACTAGACTGCCTTTTTACTCTTGTCACCAATTCGTTGGGGAGCTGCCTTTGTGCTGCAAATGTCATTACTTATTACTGTGGCTGGACTCTAGCAGTCTAACAATGTATTGTACTAAACATCTTATTACGAGACTTGACAGTGTTCAGACATAAGCATGTATCAATTAAACATCTTGAGTTCATCCCAGATACATGTACGATGAGTCTGGGATCCTGGTGGTCCTTTTAAAAAACTCTAGGGTATAGGGTAAGTGTGGTTTATTAGGGAAGATTTACTCCACAGTGACATTTTGCCAGCATCTGTAGCATTGCTGGTCTGTCATGCAAACAATGGGTATTTTAAATATTAATTTAATGCCACATGAATGACTTTCAAGTTCACTTAAAAGTATACTGGTATAGTTAAGAGATACTCAGTTAAATATCTGCAGTGTAATGTACTGGGCAAAAAAATGCCTTTTTTTTTGGTTGTTGTTCATTCAAAAATGAACAAAAAAAGGAGGCACCATCACTTACAATGTCACTAATGTCTGTTTTCAGAAGCTTGCAAGCATGAGAGACATGTGAGAAGAAAATGGGCTCACTGTAAAGTACACAGGATTGGCATTACTGGAGTTGTGGATTCCATTATTAGATTTGTGACTTTTGTTGAATTTAGGACTTGGAACAAATGTCTGTAATCCAATCAAGTAAAAATGAATACTGATTTCTCAAACAGCACTTGTTTTCCAAAGATAATACTTTTTAAATAATACTTTTCAAATAATACTTTTCATTAAATTCATTCTTCTATCCATGTAAAGTAATTGTATTTAATACATGGGTAAACTAAGGTACAGGTTGAAATATTTTATCCTGAGATCAAAAAGCAGAACTGGCTTCCTATCCCTGTTACTTTGATATTCTTTCTTTGTATAATGAAACCAGTTCTATTGTTTACTTGAGATGACAGATAAAAAGGGTAGCAATGTTTTTCACTGTTACATTTAAGTTTCATAACTTCAAGCTTTTCTGCTTATTTACATATATGCCATTCACCTGTTGACTAACTTAAAATTGGAGGAACCTACTGGTATTTTTATACATGCCCTAAAGCAAATATTTGCATCTCATCAATGCCATTTATTTTAGATTAGCCTCGGTAAAGCACTTCATATTTTAAATACAAAGTGTAGTGTAAAGAGTTGTCTGACATCAGCAGGTGTTTGGGAAGATTCAGTTAGTCTAAAACAACAGCTAATCTCAGATCAGCTCTTCCACTTCTGAATGCACTGTGTAACAATTCAAGTGCAATACTCAAACCTTTCTTAACATATAGAAAAATCAATGTGACCCCTTGCAGGAATGTAAGTCTGGAGTGATTACATGACGTTTAACAGGAATGGCCACAGTGAGAGAGAGGACATTCAGTAATGATTGTTTATTCTTCAATTACTTCTTCCTTGGCGTCCCTGAGGTGAGAATCAGTTGCCTTCTTTGACAAGGCACTGTCACTGCACTATGCTTTTCCAACATGGAAGTACTCAGAATTAAAAACAATACTGGCATTAAACTTAGTCTCTTTTCTTAATCTTTGTCAGCGTATGCTATATACCACTCAGAACTAAAATAATTAGCACAATTCCTTTGCTCCTGCACTTAGGCAGTAATGTTGCTTCACATCAGTTTCATGGATATAAGGCCAAATTCTGCCAGATCTAGATGTTGGAGGCATTGCAACTCTAGAAGCTGGAAGAGCCCTTTCAGTCAAAATGGGCTTCAACATATTCTATATGGCGCTTACTTAAAGCACACACCTTCACAAAAGCATACCATTTTATACAATAGTCTCTTTTATCATGCCTTTCCCACTCTTTTATTCAGTATTTTTGATTCTTTTTCTTCTCTGAATAGTGATATATTTACTATTATTCAAAAAAACTTTTCTCAGTTTTACATCTTTAAGATAGAAGAACATGAAAAAAAGTAAAGCATATCTTCACTGGTAGATTTTTCAAGACTGGTTTGCAATGACTATGGCATGAAATGTTCACCTGCTCTAAGACTGATGGATGCTGTTTCATGCAAAATAGCCTTTTTTTATAAACTGCTGACTGTTTAGTAAAACAGGCAAAAGTCTAAAATAGTACTAAGAATTTTATTACTCGCTAGGAGGTATCATTGGGCCAGCATTCAGTTTTCCAACTCTTTATCTTTCTCTTTATCCTGTAATTCAAATTATGTCAAATATAGCCAGAATCCAAGATATAAACACATACAGCTCATCTGAATTTTGTGCTATGCAAGTTCACAACCCTTATAAATTCAGTTGCAGCTCCATAGAGCATGATCTACTAAAAAATTATGCTGTGGCCATATTGCTCATTTTACTACAGATCTCATATTAAACCAAGAAATGAAATCAGCAGTAAAATAATGTATCAAGTCAGGCACCTGTCACAAATTCATTAATACAAATATAATAAAATACCCCTTCCTCAAATCCCAGTGTAATTAAGACATAATGGGCCCAATTCTGACTTATGTCATGTGCCAACCGGGAGTAACTCTGGGAGCCATACACTAGTATAAAACCGATGCAAATGAGAAAAGAATCAGGTCTATTGTTGATGGAACAGAATGCTGTCACTGAAGAAAGGCTTCCCACTGCTAGAGAAATGTTAAGGAAAAGCTGAGACAATTATTAGCAAAGGATGCAACATTTATCTTGGAACAGTGGTTTCATTTGAGTTTCACACCATGACTGATGTGGATGTCACCATTGATGAGTGAGTGCAGCCAAATTATGGTTTTTGGGGTTTTGCCATCTATGAGTGAAAAGATTCCAACTTTCAGGACAGACTGCTCTGGCATTGCAACAGATCAGAAAACATCCAACCATAAGCAAGAAAGGATGGGTGAATTAGAAAGCTGTAACTTGTCACCTGCTGAATAGGGTTGCTTCCTCCTGTACTAGTACACTCCTCAGGAAAAACCCAGCTACCCATAATTTCGATTGCCACAAAAATCAGACTCCTCTCATTACCTCTTGCCAGTTTGGAACTGGGGAACACTGAAAAGCAGAATTAGTTGATATCCATTTCCTTTAGAATAATAATACACTGAAATTAATTTGAGAGTGATCTTCTACTTGCTCTCTGGGATGGTACATGGCCTGGATATGCCAGTACTTGTAAGAAGCTGATCTACAGAATGTCTTTGGAAAGGTGCTGCTGTACTTAAAGTAACAAGACACTTTCCAGTGATGGTAGTAAATCCCTTTCGTTGACTGTAAAATCATAACTGAAGAAATACTTGTTTGATGCTGCCATTAACTGAGCCCAACACTGGACGTCTGTATGACATCGCTATGATTGGCATCCTGAATAAGAATGTGAAATAAGCATTGTCTAAACACAGAAAAAAGGAAATGCATCATAGACATTGGAACTGGGTAAATAGCAAGGAAATTCTGACATAGATATTTGAGCTAGCAGTGCCACCTAGCCCATGCACCAGAATTGTAGCACAGCTCTTTCAAATGTTTCGGGCATGCTTTCCCACTTGTTCAATCATTTTTTAAAGTATAATTATCAGAGTGCTTATGTTTTGCAGTTAACGCTGTCAAGTCTTTTAAACTAATTGGTCTTTACAGAAAATTTAACTGAAAATTATCACATCTTTTAATAACATTGCTTTAACTTTAATAGCACTTTGCCCTTCATTTAGAATTACTTTAAAATTACCATTTTCCAAGTCATATCTGCCATTTTTTCTTGTGTTTCTAGTGGATTCTTTTCATGGTTTTCTTTTAAGAAGACACCTCCTCCAGTAGATTTGGTTTTTAACATTGCTTTCAAACAAATACTGCAACTGGGTTTTCTTTTACAGTTGGAGGAATTCTGTTGAACGAATGATTTATATCCAAACTTGATGGGCAACTGAACTAACACTGCTACCTTATACCAATAACAAAACAGCATTTGAGACAGAATCAACAGCAGAAAATAGCTAACAGCATTTCAGGGTTTGAAAATCCATTGATTATCAAGATACTGTTCAAGCTTTAAAGAAATTTGGGACACTTTAGGTTACAGGATGCTGCTTGTTATTCCCCTTAACCAGCTAGCATAAAAAGTAGTCTTGTTTCAAAATGTCCATATCGGAGATTAGAACAGTTTCTTTTATGTACAAATAAGACTGTAAGGATCCCTGAGGGAGAACTCTTGAGTAATGGGTATACTGAAAAGTTATTTTTAACTAACTGGTTTAACTTTGTCTTCTATTCTGTGCTTCCATTTACATGAATTAAAAATAGCATTTAGTATTATAGAACAAAAATTAAGTCCTAAAGATCTAGCACAAGGAAATAAATTCTAGGATATGGGATGCTAAATGGTATAATCCATTTCTGGAGATCCTTGCCTCTAACAACACCACTCCAACAGTATGTCAAGTTTATTATCAGCAGTATGCATGGGAGGGATGCCAACCTGCCAGAACTTCTGTGGTTCTCATAGCCTCAGTGCCAAAAGGAATAACAGAAAATCTTTGGCTCTCTGGCCAACTGTTCAAACCTTTGAAGGTACTGTGTGTTGATAAAACTGGTTTCCTTGCATGCACAGGATTTTCTTGAATAACTATCTCAACAAGACCCAGAAAAGGAAAAAGTACTTCTCAAACATTTGCTTCTCTTAAGCTATCCTATGTAATGTAGCTTTCTTATAGCTGAAGATAAACCTTTTACAAAACACCCACATTATCTAAAAAATGCTTCCAATCCCATGTTTTTTAGTCCCATTCAATTTGGTAATGAGAATGTGCTTTGCTTTTCAGTAGTGACACCACCGGGAGACTGAAAGACTACATATACACTTTCCCTAGGTTTGCGTATGCTATGAGAAAACAAATATTAATATATCATTCATGCCTCTGATGCGAGTAGACATCTCTTCAAAGATATAATGATTAGCTGGTGCTATTTAACAATAGTCACTGCCACACTTAAAACATGAACCATGCTTACAGTCTTCACAGAGAGTACAATAATACACTTTAACCAAAGCCTGGAGAGGCCACTGCTACCAACTCATCAAAAAGACAATGTAGTTTTTGAGTTCATTATTCTCTTCAGAGCAATGATCTTTGAACTGCTATACTGTGAATCATATGCTTGTGGAATATATTGCTTTTCCCACAGAGGACAAACTGTATGTTGATAGCAGGTAGACAGCATTTTGTAAAGTAAACCTCATAGCTTTTAATATTTGAAATAAGAAAACAAGAGACAATTTCATATTTATAATATCTATTACTGTCATCTTATAGGAAATAATGCAAAACTGGAAGAATATAATGATCTTCAGCATTCAGTTTTGAATCAGAAAGTGACCAAGCATTTGCTAATCTGTGATTTATAAGTAGGGTACAGTCCACTACTTCTATATTAAAAAAACTATATGAAAGAAAAAAATAATTCAACACTGATCAATACTATTGAATTACTACTATTCAATAACTGAACACTTCAAAAAAATATTTATAATTTAATTTATACTTTTTGTTTTTTACATCTATATGTATGTTTCAAATTACCTGCAAGTCTGAAAGACACACACTGTGTATGTGGGTATTGTTCTATTTTTCTTATTTTTCTTACAGCAGTTCTACTATAAAACTACACCACTGTAAGAAGAGATTCGTTCTTAATGGTACAGTTCATGCATTGCATGTCTACACAATTAATAGAACGAAAGCATGACTGCAAATCTCATAATTTGGTTAGGATTTGGGCTTCAGTTTGCCAGTACTGGCTCTAAATCAGGTAGGATAAATAGAAGCTGGTCCCTAAAACCAAGATTATTCTAGGAAAAAAAAAAAAAAAAAGAATATTTTTTAAAAAAGAATAATTAAAAAAAAGAGGTAATATAGTGCAAGTAGATTAGTTTGTGTGAAAACACACTTTTCCTTGGAGAAGAAGTGAAAGGAGAATACACCATTCCCATGAGAGTAGGAACAGTAAAGGGAAAACATTTCACACATCTTACACTTTCTGAAGGGTCAGGAAGAATTGTACTTTTCCAACTCTTTACTAGGCCTTTGAGGAATGAAAGGGAAAATAACACTGCCACCGATCAGCGAAGCAGTGAAAGAAAAGACAAAATGGTGAACAATACTAACTGACTGTACCCTTGGCTTGTCTTCTTGATTAGTACTTTTTCTGAGTTAGAATTTCTACTCTTGTTATCACATTTAGTTCTCTGGCTTCAGGCTGCACTGCCCCTGACATATAATATGACCACTTAGATGTGAAAATGTTTGAAAAAAAGACTCTGTTGAAGAAAGGAACTGCAGATGTGGAGGGGCATGGTGTCAAAAACGAAAAGTTAACAAAAGCAAGCAAAATCTAAAAATATCGTGACTATCATGTGATGAGCTCCAAGTAAAAATTTTTGAAGACATTTTCTACATATTTCTTATTGCCTCACTACTATTTACATGATACACCTTTGCACAAGAAAGCAGTGATGTCCACAACATTTTGCTCTCTTTTTGTGGTGATGCCAGTGGCAATCAGAAGAATTAACCTTACTTTTTCCAAGATTCTGGAAGTGCCCTACTGAACTATTCATTCAGGGACAATAATTTAGTTAGTAGTGTGAGTAGACAGACAACTTCCATTTTAACAATTTGGAACATATTAAACTATTCCCATTTATAATGTGAAAATGCTAAATATTTTATACAGAGAGATTTTAATTAGAGAAGGTACAGAGTTTAAGTGTTCTTGCTTAGGCTTCCTGAATTTCCCATCTATGCAAAATATGGCAAATAACATTATAAAAAAAGTATTTTTTAAGTTCATTGCAAATTCTAGACTGCATTAGAATAATAATTCACCAGTGTAGACAGATACTATTCATCTGTAGACAGAACATATAAGTAATAAGCAGGGAATAGATGTATAAAATACAGATACATAAATATGAAATATTAATATTAAATAAAGATCACTATCATTTTTTCTTAAAAGCAAAAAGCTTCATTCTGAATTTAGGTGAAGGTCAGACTTTGCTCTTTCAAGGAAATCTGTTTGCTCATTTCTTAATACTGTATGGGGTTTATAGCAGATGATTCCCAGCACTATAGAATATTATTTCTTGGAGAGCCTATGCTCAGATTTTTAGAAGACTATGTTCTTCCTACATCTAGCATGGCACAAGACTGGTTTGAAAACTCCACCAGTGTGAAGCAAGGGAGGATGAAAAGGAGTATGACTGTGGCGTTTGCTTTGAAACTGTACTGTGAATGCAAACCAAAAAGCCTAATGTAAATGTAACCAAAGGCCACCATCTGCAGCTTCTGCCATGCACTTACGTTTTGATTCACAGGACAACTCGTGTCAGAAAGATAGATAACCTCTCTTCACACAAGTAGAGTTCATGTGATGTGTACAAAGGCTTTCATAAAGCTCTATCACTGTCACCCAGTGCCCATACTCACAGCATTGCTCATGGCTAGAGGAAATTAAAAGCTTAAAACATGGTTGACGCTGTCTGACATAAATGGTAAGAATAGGGACTAACACACTGAATTTGGGTCTGGTTCTCAGGAGGAAGAGACAACATTTTTGGAAAATATTATACTCTAAAGCCTGACATGAGACTTTTTGATTTTAAAATTGTGGACTCATGTTTGTCTTATATACCTCAGTTGTTATAAGGTCTCCGTGTCCAACCAAAAAATAGCCAAGTTTAGGCTCTGAAATTCTCTTGACGTCTAAGAGAAAAGTGTCTTTTCCCAACATCCAGTGGAATATGGACTACACTTTCATACTTTTTCACAATAAGTCTGATGTAAGGGAATGAAAAAGGTTTTGTCTGCTTACTGCGCTCATGAGAGAGTCCAACACACTGACAGCAAATGCGGTTCCACATGCAAATGGCTGCGTGAGATACAGTTCTGTGTCTGGATCATCATCATCATCTTGGTCCAAGAACTGAACATTTGAATCATTTACTGAAAATAATAATAAAAATCAAATCATAAGGTGCTTCTGGGTCACAAGCATGTGACCTTACACATTACACAGTCAGAAAGAAAAAGAAACAGCATATGTCTGGAAACACAGACTTGTGTCTTTGACGTCACTGAAAATGAAATCAAGATGGATGTGAAAATGTGCATTTAAAAATCTGTTGATTATTATCTTGCTCGTAAGAAATGACTCTCTTGTTCTTAGGAAGTGACTACCTCTTTGCAGTAAAAGTAGCTTCACAGCACCAACTGCCTGCACTTAAAATGAGGTACATGATGCGCTTTTATATATTGAGACAATCTTGGTATTGGCTGAATACAGTGGCTAAGGCTGTATACATGTACAGTGAAATGTTATTACAAGATAGCAAGTAAGAACCCCATTGTAAAATAAAGGCTGTAAAACTCTGCTATAGCCCACAGGCACCTGTTAAATATGCTGCTCTGATTCTTACTGGGGTGGTGTTAACGCACTTACAGCTCAAAAGAGGATAAACTGTCCTGTTAACATGCATCTATCTGAAAGAATGAGCAATACTCCAGCTATTTTCTTGCAGCACTGCCTTTTGTTCAAATATTTGTCTCTATAACTTCAGTTCCCGAGCCACAAATTCTGCATTAGCCAGTGTGAATCTACTGTTTTAAACAAAAAGTCCAAATAAAGTAATATTTGTCATTTAGACTTGCTCTGGGATTTCATTGTCACAGTTAAGCTCTCTGCTTACATCTCATTCCATTGAAAACAGTTGTTTCCTTGATATCAGTGTATCAAGTGTATCATATTTCATTTAATACTTCATTCCCATATTAGTCCTCCTCAGACATGAAAGCACAGACTGCTTAGTTATGCCATTGAAATACCCTTTAACTTATTAAATGACAAATTAATTTCAGTTCCCATGCAAAGAAAGCAAATTAAAAACTTTTTCAGCATTTGAAGCTGCACACGTTGACTGTGTTCTGATTCCCATGTGAACACATCTCCTGAACCAGCCAGTGAGCTTTGAAAACAACATGAGAGCTGCCTTTAATTTGATCTGGTTTCAGCTCTGGACTTCTTAGGTTAGAAATCCTTTTGCCTTCTATTCATATCTTCCTTCCTATATAGTTTAATTTTCTATCCACTCCTTTTCCAACCTGTATATATTACTGTGCTTACAGTGCTTAGCTTACAAAACATGAGTAACTATAGATAAAGTCTCACAAATAGCTGCCTAATAGAGATGAGAATTGTTAAGTTTCCATCTAGAGCACTATTGAGATAGTACTTGTACATGATCATTTAGTCAGGACCTGAGTTGAAGTAGGATTTAAAATTCCTGCCTCCCCACTCCCTGATGTAAACATAAAAACATAACACTTCAGCATTGTAAATGGAGAATTGTTCTGCCCCAGGAGTCAGAACAATTTCATTGTAGCAAACACCAATATCCATGATATTCCTTTCTTTGTACAATGGCTATCAATTTATTCTCCAAATTCTTGAGCAAAATAGTATTCAAGAGTCTGATGTATCATTTCAAAATGTACTTTTTGAAGAGCTTGTGCCTTAGTTTAATGTGCTAGTCGACAGTAGGCACTATTGTAGCATTTGTTTCCACTTATATCTGGCATAGCAATACCTGACTTTGATGCTAGCTTGCCAGCCATGCGTGGTGTCAGTTTTCAGGCTGCTACAAACCTAATGTGAATTCTGCATGTGTGATCTTATCCTCAATATCTTTATCTTTCTGATGCAAGTTAGCGCTCTAGGATTTCTACTTAAAATCTCTGGGCTAGGTGAGGTAGGCTGAAACATATGGTGCTGCGTCACAGGAAATGCTCATCAAACACTGCTCACAAAAGCTGGTGAAAGCTCTCTTTATTGAGAGGGAGCAACACAGAAGCTTGTCTGCTTTTCTACAGCTTCAAAACTTGAGCTTCTGAGAAAAGGCCTACTTCCCACAATAAACAAACAAATAGCTTAAGGGAAAATATGATGCTGGGGGTGTGTGTTCTGATATCTTTTATTTCTTCTTGGACTTCCTGTGGAATTGCTAAGGTATGTCCACCAAACTGACAACAGGCTGAGGTAACAAAAAGAGAAAAAGAAAGAGAGAGAGAAAAGGAGAGAAAAATTGGTGGAGGGGGAGGGAAGGCCCAGGAGGTGGGGACCCAGGCCAAAGAAAATGAATTGGTGAGAAGGTGCTATGGAAACAGCCGGCAGGTCAGACGAGTGTGATCAAAGGTTTACTGATGCTGCGTGAAAAAAAAATCATTAAGAAAGGCCAGAACACGACAGTCAATTTCAACCAGAACCACAAATAAAACACATTCAAAGCAGTGCCATGAGGGTAGCCCCTCTGATACAGCCAGATAAATAAAGGAAAAGCTGATGACAGTAAGAACAACAGAAAATAAGACAGTGATGTGAAGGAAAAAGGCACTCTTACCCAGTTCAGTTATCATTAGAATGTGGGTTCCACTGTTTTTTTCCTGACTGATTGAAACCAAAGGCAGAAGTTTGCCAGGCTTAGCTAATAAGTAAAGTATTTAGGGGGAAAAGAAAGTACAGAAAGAGAATAAAGTAAGGGAAAAAGACAGGTAAGGCTCTAAAAAATAAAACTGAAAAAGAAAATAAAAGGACAAAGGACCACAAATCAAGTTTGTATTTGCCATGAAAAAAACAGAACAGCTTCTGCACTTCACATCACACCACTTGACAACATAAATACCCACAGCTAGAGTGGAAATCAGAGCCTGGTTACCTACCATCATCGTATTCTCAGGAGTAAAATGTCTCATGCTATTATACAGAGTTTGGTTACACATGATTAAACAGTTCTGGACCATGAAGAAATAAACAAATGGCCTCTTACTATTGATTAAATGCACAGGAAATGTCTGTTCATACTTATTGTGTTTTTTTTCTTTTCTAACCTTAGCCCAAATACCTCTGCTTATTTGTTCCACTACGTAAAAAGCATCTCTGATAGAGTGTTTATTTAGGAAAATGGAGAAAACCCAAAGGAATGAGAGAACTATATTTCATTAATTCAAACAAAAGGTGAAACAACTGTTACTAATCTTTTGTTAGAGAGGGTAATTCAAAATAGTTATCAGAAGAGAAAACAGTAGCATAAGATACAGTATAGGTAACTTTCCTGAGACTGCATAACAAGAAAAGTGGGAATAGATATCAGAATACACATGAAAGGGTAAACACTAGCTTTCCTTACCTAGCTCTGTTATAATAGGGATGTTGGCTCCTGTTGTAATGGAGGGTTGACGTAAAAGGCCATGGACTGGACTGTTGTCTGGAGATGACCTATCCATCCCAGGGGGTGTAAAGCCTAAATGAAAAAAAAGAAAAGGAAAATATTTACATAGCACAAATTATATTAAAAAAATCCCCACCAATAGGGAATTTTCTATGTTTTTTTCCCCCAGAAAAGTGTAGCAAAAAAAAATTTATTTTAAACCGAACTTTACTTAATTTTCAACAATTATTTCTTCAAAGCATAATACTTCACAATTATGCAGGTCATTTCTACTGTAAGATATTTGGTAGCTAATGAAGAAACTGAAATTTATTTTATTATCCTAGGTAGCCTTTTGTATCAAAACATGCAAAGTGGAAAGAGTAATGATTACTTAAATATGAGCAAAAAATAAAGACTTCACTATTAGAGTGGTTTAATTTTGTCCTATTTGTATTTTAAATAATCCTGAAACAAGCACCTTTTCTTAAACCTTGATTAACATTTTAAAGAAAGAGTACTGTTTATAAACAGTAGTATGACCACAAGGAACAGGTTGCTTTTATTGGCAGGTTTTAGGTTTAATCAACATGCAGGATTTAAAATTTTCTAACTGTTTTCCAGGAGCAATAGAACCCATACATAGTTGTTTTTTTTTTTCTTTTCAGGTGTACCATAACACTCATTTTTATAAGGATTACAATTATAGGAATACTGGGATGGAAGGGCCCATTTTAACAAAATAAAAACAAAAAAAAAAGGATTAGATAGAAAGAAAAAGACAGGTTTTCAAAATGTATGTAAGAGGAATGCTTGCAAAGAAACTAGAAAGAGTTTTATACCTTTGGGGATGTAAAGAAAACAGAGGTGGCAGAGGAAATATATTGGCAGGCACTCAAAGGGAAAAAAGAGATCTGGAGAGCAGCAAGGTTCATCTCTAAAAAAGACTGTTTTCATCCTGATTTTCTACACAGTTTGAAATGGTGTTTTTGACACTTTTTTTTTTTTTTTTAAGTAAAAAATATGCAGGCAAAGCCCTTTGGAGTTTGATTGTAAGTACTGAAAAATAGACAGTTACACAAAAGCCCATGCAACAGTTGGACTGGAAATTCACAGTTGAGACTAATGCATTCCATCTCCCTTGTCCATTAAAGCTGCAGAAAGCATGTTTATTTAATGTCATTATTGCAGAAGTGATGGTAAAGATAGAGTTTGACTTTAGAGTTTCACACGGATCAATATCAAGGCAGTATTTTTAAGCAAATATTTGTCTGCTTGGAATAGGATTGAGCCAAGCTCACTGTAAAACACACATTTCTGAGAAAGTATTCTTTTTTGCCACATTATTACTGAGTTATTTGATTTCACACCCGACATCATCCAGGGACAGACTTTTGATCCTCTGTCATTACTGGTCTGAAATAGTTTTGCATTCTCCATATACCAATTCAAATTAATCACAGCCAAATTAACTTCTGATATAACTTCATTATCTTCTTGCAGTATGGAAACTGTTTCATTGTGTTAAATTAATTGATGCATTCATTTGCTACTGAATTCAGAAGAAGATGATATGGTATTATCTATCTATTTTACCTTTCTTCAGTTTAAGGACTAATTTACAAACCAGGAAATCTCTAAACTAAACTGTAGTTGTTGACATGTGGTACTAGTTTCATAATGTCTGAGAGGTTTATGGTTCATTTCCTGTTGAATTACCATCACTTTTAAACTGCCCCTCATCAAGAAAACTATAAAATATATAAGTAATAAAATTAGAAAGAACCACTGAGAAGAGAGACCCTCCAGAAGGCAGCATTATGAATTTCCTTCTGACTGTCATGTGAAAGCTAGATACAACATGAGGACTGTAAGAACAGGATAAGTAAAAACGGAGTGAAAAGTCTGTGAAGAAATTTCTTAAGAGAAAAGAAGTCGATGTGGTATCTTCAACAGCTTGCAAGACAAAGACACCACCATAAGTAAACCTAAGACAGCAAAGCAATTCTATTTAATATTACCAGTGCATATAAAATCTTTAGAAAGCAGATTTTTTAGAGACAACTGGAAATGTTGGCAATTTGATGTCCATCATTTAATACTACCCCTTGTGCTGAAAATAATTGAATTAGACTGGCATGGTGATAGTGAGATGCATTCCCAAATGGTCTAGGTTTGCAGATGTTTCCTTGTGCTGGGCACTGTGACTGACAGCTGTATTGGCTCTTTGAATGCTTACTTCTGCATGGCAGAGCCTAGGATTTCTCAGACACAGAGAGTCTAATGGAGTTCCTTCAGGCACCACATGTCATGTCTTGGGCAGTTAAAGTGGCAGGCCCAGTTGGGTCCTCTGCAAAATTACAAGTCAAAACAGCAACAGTAAAACTTTTTATGTTCACTTATCCAAGAGCAAACTAATCTTTTTCCCATGTGCCCTAGGGGTTGTACTGCTGGGAGCACCCTTAGAGGCCCTGCTTCCCTCTTTTTCCTGAAGGCTTTTCTCTTCCTATTGCAGGATGCAGTCCCTAAAATATCTTTTAGTGAATCAGGCTCTTCAGATGTTAAGAACACATCAGTATTTTCCTACTAGGTGAAAGCAAATTGAAGAAAGTTGGCATAACTGCATCTATATGTGTAAATCTTTCTTGCCTTCCTGCTACTGAAATGTGCACACAGAGAGATGCACACACATGCATACTCTCCATCGAAGGCTATTTGTAGCCACCTCTCCTAGCCCTTCAAATATATTTCTTTCTAGGATGGTGTTAGAAGATGGAAGTAAATGTGGCATTTCTGTTAGACAGACTGTCAGGAGCTCTGTAATTGCACACTGCACACATAGTGCATTCAGTCTGAAATGCAAGAAGCATGTTAAAGGGATTTTGTTTTCTCCTTGAATGAAAAATAGACTCATGCCTTGATATTTTTTATCCTATGGTCTTGGAAGAAGTGAGAAATATTTGCTATTTTAATTTAATTTTCTTGCCTGAACTTAATTCAGACACCCCTACAAATCCACTTTTAAAAATATAAAAATCTTGGAATATTTTCAGATAAAGGAAAATAGGAGTACTTGGGGATTTAGTGTGCCCACATTTGGAGTCACAAAGCATCGTACACCTTCAGGCCACATTCCTGCTCCCAAGTCACAACATAAATTCTATACATAGGGACTCTTTTTTTCCTCCAGGAGAGAGAGAGAAGGAAAAAAAGTGCAGGAAAACTAACCTGCTTTATCAGAACTTTGGTTTAAAGGCATGAAAAACTACAAGTGACAGCTGTGCAGATTCAGTGAATGTGACATTTCTGAATTTCTTCAACTTGACAAGTAAACACCTTAAATCGGTAATGCTATATGCATAATACATGACCTGTATTTTGACATCCATCATCAAATGCTGACTTGAGAAAACATGGGTTTGTACGTCAAGGAATAGCACCCATAAAGCAGGGAGAAATTCAGGTCACAGGATATTAGGAAAACTCTATTTCATTACAGAAGCTGAAACAAGCTAAGGCATCAGATTTAAGATCCATTTTCAGCTGTGAAAAGATTCAATTCCTCTGCACAGAGCATTCATTTAGAAATGACATGCTTTCCTCACAGCCTCTTTTCATTTTCCTTTTCATATTCCATTTTCTCCTTCAGTCCCCAAACCTTGTTCCATTAGCACTCATAAAAATCGTAAAACAGGGCTGATAGTTGTGATCTTATAACCACAGTGTCTCCTTGTTCAACAAACAACTGAGGGAGCTGTGGCTTCAATTGCTTAACAGGATCAACCTCAACAGTAAAATTCAAATGGCCTCTGCAAGCTTAACCACAGTTCTTGCATATGGAAATACAGTGACAGTGAGGGCCTTCTGATGAAGGGAATTCTCTTTGCCAACAAGTAGGAGGTAAGGTGCAGCAAAATCCTATCAGCTCCTGCAGCCACTACATCCAATACTAAATTGCTATAGTGGGCAAGTGATTGTCTTTGCATCACTTGGGGTTTTTTTGTGGCTTGTTGGTTTTTTTTGCCTCATCGCTTATTAAACTCTTAAAAAAATCCTTAGCCTGTGAGTTTTTTCTCACTTTTTCCCTCGCTTCTCTACCCCATCCCACTGCGGGGAAATTAGGAAGTGACTGCGTAGGAGCATACTTGCCAGCCAGGATCAATCCACAACCATTGGCTATAGTGATAACCACCACAACACAGAATCATAGAATTGTTTAGGTTGGAAAAGACCTTTAAGATCATCAAACCCAACTGTTAATGTAGCACTACCAAGTCCACCACTAAACCATAGAATCATAGAATCATAAAACAGTTAGGGTTGGAAAGGACCTTAAGATCATCTAGTTCCAACCCCCCTGCCATGGCCAGGGACACCTCACACTAAACTATATCACCCAAGGCCTCGTCCAACCTGGTCTTGAACACTGCCAGGGATGGAGCATTCACAACCTCCCTGGGCAACCCATTCCAGTGCCTCACCACCCTAACAGGAATGTCCCTAAATGCCACATCTACACATCTTTTAAACACCTCCAGGGATGGTGACTCAAGCACTGCCCTGGGCAGCCTGTTCCAACACTTGGCAAACCCTTCAGTGAAGAGATTATCGCTGATAATCTAGACCTGGTGCTACTTGGGGTTATTTTCTCTTATTTCTACCATTTGTTACTTGGGAGAAGAGAGGGGTACCTCACTACAACCACCTTTCAGGTAGCTGTAGAGTGATAAGGCCTCCCTTATCAAATGACAGAACGGCTCAGACTTAACAGGAGGTAACAAGTACCTGTCCCTCTCTGAAACAAGATGCTGCCTAACAGTGGATTAAATATATCATGCCTCTGAGAGGAATACAAGCTTTAGGCTTCTGATATGCTCAAAATCAGCGAGGACTGGCAACTGGGAGTTACTGCTTCCCTCCCAGCAGCAGCCTCCCTCTTTGAGAGGCAGGGACTTCAGTGCCCTAACTCTGCTACCTGCTCTGAAGGAATTTGAGCCTTCTGCAGTTCTCTGCAGAAAGCAGCAGGTTCAGTGTCTTGATTCTGTGCAAGGAAGTATTTCCTGGCTCCCTCTGGGATACTACTGCCCACACAA